ACAACCCCTGAGTATTCCATGGCTGTGTTCCTGCCCAGCTCAGGAGCTGGGGCAGCCCTGGAACACCCTTGGGTATCCTTGAGCATTCCTGGAGCATCTCTGGATGTGGTGAGGGGGGAGATGGAAGAGTCTAGCCCCAGGAGCTGAAACAGCCCTAAGGCATCCTTGGGTATCCTTTGAGCATCATGGTGTATCCCTGGAGCATCCTTGCACACAGGTGGGAGAGAAGGAGGAGCTGAGACAGCTCTGGAGCATCTCTGGAGGATTCCTAAAGCTGCCCTGGGTATCCCCAGAGCATCCCTGCACAGGAGTGGGGGGAGATGGAGAGATCCAGCCCTGGGGACAGCCCCGGAGCATCCCTACAAATGCGTGGGGGAGATGGGGGGCCCATGGGCGAGATGGAGGGATCCAGCCCCAACTCCCACCTGCTGGTTACCAGGCAGCCCTGAGGGCTTGGCACAGCCCGGCGGGGCTGACTCCCCACCACCTCTTTGCGCTCCACAGCCAGATCTCGGTGCTGGCGGGCGGGAAGGCCAACTGCTCGCAGTTCTGCACCACGGGCATGGACGGGGGCATGAGCATCTGGGACGTCAAGGTAAGTGTGTCCCTGCAGTGCCCCCCAGGCTGGGAGCCCGCAGCCAAGAACCCTCGTTAGCCACAGCTCTAATTGCAATCCCTCATCCCATTGCCGTGACATTCGTTGCTGTGGTGGTGGGGCCCATCCTGGGTGGGATCTCCTTTAACCCAGAGGTTGGTGGGGGACACCTCGGGTGGCATTTTCCCAGCTCATCAGAGGGAGAGGGTGATGCCAGCACTGCACAGGGATCCAGCACCCTCTCCTGGCTTCGCCTTTGCCCACACGGCTTAAAAAATGAGCAAAAACCCAGCTGAAATCAAGATCTCCTGCCCCTGGAGATGGATTGGCACCCCAGGGAGCAGCTTCTCCCTGCTCCCCAGCTCTGCTCCCCAACCACCCCCCATTTCCCTTAGAAAGCAAAAAAGCTGATGACGAATGACCTCCCATTTCATTTCAGAGCCTGGAGTCGGCGCTGAAGGATCTCAGGATCAAATGAAGGAACCATTCGGGAAGGACATCCCGGCTGCCAGCCTTGCCCCTGCTCTGCTGTGCCTGCCCGCTTTCCCCGCTGTGAGCCCCCCACGCCACGTGAGCCGGCCACGACGCCACCAGCGTGCTTCCCCAGCTGCCAGCCAGCCCCGGCGGCTGCTTCAGACAAAGAAAACAGGTTTTTAAACTATTTTTGTTACCATCCTCTCCGATGCTGGTCATACATCGCTTAAAGAAATCAAAAATAAAGTAAGGGTTTTCCTGTATAAATCCAATTATTTATTTATGGGGTTTTTTTTTAACCAAGTTCAATGCAAAACACAGGTGGGATTAGAGCACAGCATGGCCGATGTGCTGCATCTCACCGCAGCCGTTCAGGTCCGTTCTGCCACCAGCTCTGAGAATGAATCAGGACTGTGGGGGTAAAAGGGGAATGTCATCCCCCTCTTCCCGGCTTCAGCATGGTTTCAAACCAGGATGGGCATTGCAGAAAAGGTAGGGGAGAGGATGGAGGTGGCAAGGGAGCACAGGTTTCCTGTCCTGCTCCCGGCACCAAGCTCCTCCTGGACACCAGTCAAATCCCGTCAGGTGTGCAATTCCACACCCGGGAGCCAGCTGGGAAACCTTGGGCTCCCGAACCAGTCCTGCTCCTTCCCAGCCCCTTATCGCAGGCTGCAGGCGGTTTCCAAGAGAGAACCTCATCTCCACCTCCGGGTACGAGCAGTCTCACCTCGCAGCCATGCTGGGAAGACAGTTTCCCCACGGAGCCTTCTAAGAAGCTCTACGAAAGTGGATAACTCCATCTCTGTTTCGGAGCAGGGTTAATTGCACGTGCTGAACGACGGGCAGGGTCACAGGTTACACAGAGGGCAAGAACTCGCGCTGAAGCGGAGGGCAAGGGCTTTGGCAAAGGCAGAACCGCGAGTGCCCAGACAGGTGTGGCGACATGCCAACCACTCCTCCAGCGCTGCCACGTCTCACGCTGAGCGTCCCTGCAAGGGAAACCCTACACTTGTCACCAAAAAGTACAGGAATCCGTGCGGTGCAATGTGCTCATTCCTCCTGGGATCAGACCTCACTGACAGCTCGGGTTAAACGCCGAGTTCCCGGAGGTGTACCTCGAAGATCAGCCCTTATGTCAACCACATGGCTGGAGGGAGCACTGGCTGGCAGGGAGGGACAGTGACATTTGGGTTCTGGCCCAGACATTAGTTAATAAGAGGCCTGTTCTACCAGGAAAAGATTTTTCCACCCATTTCTGCGTGTTCACCCTGTGCGAACAAACCCCTTTTATCTCCCCTTCCACCTGCGGCTCCTGCCTTGCTCTGTCCCAGCGAGCAATCCTGGGACACGCCGGGGTCCCAGGCAGAGGTCGAAAGTGGGACTTTCCTGAGCTCCTGGGGGGCTGCGGGTCGGAGCAGCAGCTCCTGCTCCAGCGAGTCAGGACATCTGACAGTGGTGCCAGCCCTGGGGACTGGCACTGACACAGCGAGGAGGTAAGACAATAGCCTGAGCGTAACTGTTTTCTCCTGAACGTGAGCCAAATCCCTTGCCCCAAACAACACGGAAACAGCAAAGCAGTGGACGCAGAAGTCACAGCACCACCCGCAGCAGCCTGTGGGCTCGCGTTCCTTTATACACACACAAGACAAGGATGGAGCAGTTATGATAACTTACATTTTAATCAGCCAAATATACAAGTTCTCTTGTTTTTTAAACTTTTACCAAGTTGTTTTGCTTTTTTGGTTTTTTTTTTTTCCATCTGGGTCTTGATACAATTAATGTTGTTTGCTTTTTTTTCCTTTAAACAAAGGATGATGTGGTTAAAATCTGGCACTATCCCTAATAAGGAGAAGAAGAAAAAAAAATAAAAATGAAGAGGAGGGAAAAGGGGAGACTGGCTGCAAGAAAGGAGGGAAGAAACCGGGAAGGAACGGCACTCCAGATGTCCATGAAGTCAGGCTCCCAGCTGATACTGCAACACCCCACAGCAATATTTGATGGGCCATTTGCCCCAAAAGGATTCCTCAGACACGTTATCCTTTGGGCTTTCACTAATTAAGACAAAATTCCCTGCCCCATGCCCCACCCCACAACGACCCCACAATCTATTTTCTTGCAATCTAATGTCTGAAGCATCTCCCCTCCCACACAGCTCCCTCCCGCCCTGCCCCCTTGTCTATGAGTTCTTAACCCTAAAACCAGCAAAAAAACCATTCAGGTTTCCAAACTGTTACAGAGAAATTGCTGCTTGGCACAGTTCTGCACCGAAGAGAGCAGCTACCCCCAACCCCAAATGGAAATCTGTGCCAGGATGAGGACAAACACATCGTCAGTGTCTCTTGGAGGTGAAGGTGACGTCGATGCCGCAGTGCACCCTACGTGGCATCTATGGTATGCAACACGACAGAGCTCCTGGCGGGCACCAGGCACAGTTCCCTGGCGTTTCCTCCTCTTGCATGTCCTGTGCTTACTTGTTAAGGGATAGTGACTGCAGTCTTTTACCTGCCATAGCCGCTTCGTCTTTTGCTGCGGGAGAAAAAGAAGAGAGGTTTCTTTATTTCAGAGTCTGGTGGTGGTTTGACAGTCCCAGGGAGTGAAATCCTACTAGCCCTGGGCAGTGAGTTAATGGGGAAAAACCCAACCCTTGCCAACAACCCCTGGTAGATCCCCTCCGGAGGAGCAGCCCCCCTTGGGCATTCCCTTCTGTTCTCAGCCTCTCTTCAGGCCTTCAGAAGTTACCCCGATGCTGATGCACAAATGTCTCAGTAGAAGTCACTGAGCAGATGCGTTCACTGGACTCCTGGCTCACCCCATCAGAACCTGAGAGAAAGCGCAGGCAGGGGAGGAGCCCTGCAAACTCCCAGGGGCAGTCTGGATCCCCAGCATGCAAGGCAGATAAATCATGCCCAGCACAAGGAACTCGCTGCACCCCAAACTGGAGCAAGCGTCGCCTGGGAGGCTGAGGACAACACAGTTAGCGAGGACAATTCTCTTTCTCCCTGTTGAGATGGCCTAGAGCTTTATAAAGAGAGAGCTTTGTGAGAAGGAAACAGCTGAGCCTGGTCGATGAGAGGAGTTGGAATGACACTCGGCAACACCGCGCAGTCTCGGGAGGTGAGGGACAGCTACGTGTGGCGTTAGAAATCACGTCTCCCGCAGCGCAGCCATCGCAAAGACAAGGAAGAGGATGTGATTAATTACTCTCTAACCTCTTCTTTCTTCTTCTTTCTTTCTGGCAGCTTCTTCCCTCTGCTTCCGAATGATGGCTAGTCGGGCGAGATCTGCTTTCGCTTGTTCTGTTTTACCAGCTAGGTGCATTTTCATGTATCTTTCTTTTGCCTTTTGTTTCTCTATTTCCTCTCTGTTTAAGGGAAACACACCAGTCACTAGAATATCCACACAGGCACAGGCAGAGAGGGGGAGGCTTTCTGACTGGGAAGGACTGGGAGGACACAGAGACTCGGGGGCCTTGTCACCAGTTCTCAAGCAGAGGTTATATCTATGGCAGGGTTTGAACAGGGATGAGGAGGGATTATTTCTACCATCATTCAGCTAAATAAGGACACTGACACATGAGGAGGTCAAATGAATTAGCCCCAGACCACAGAGGACCACGAAAGTTTTCCCAGCCTTACCCTCAAACGCGTCCTTCTGCTGAAGCAATCTATCCCAAATAAGCAAGCTTAAATCTTTCACTCTGAAACTCTCCATCGCTAAATGAAACTAGAAGATTAAACTTTGCTTCTCATCTTATTCATCTGCTCAGATGAAAATTTCACCGTGACCCCTGGCATCTGGGAAGCCACTGCCTGTCACTAGGGCACCTTCTTTAGCAAGATGAAAGAAGACCCCAAGGTGACCTCTGGTTAATGGATTTCAGTTATGTCTGATTTTCAGCATAAAACTTCAGGAAAAGAATGGCCTGCACACGCTTCACAGCAACAAACTCCACTTGGCTAAGCTGCCTGGCTCCAAGGTGGTCAGAGCTACTCCCAGAGGACAGCCAGCTTCTGTCACGTTTGTAAGGAAAGACTTTCTGAACCACAGCGAGCCCTGCTCGACAGTTTGCTGCTGTTCAGCATCTGCTTTAGACAACAACACATTTAAAAAGCTTCCCTGGAACACCAACACGTACACAGCCAGGAAACACCTCCCCGCATTAAGCTGCTGCCGCCAGCAAGGATGAAATTCCAGGAATGCACTGGCTCCTGAAGACGCAGCAAGAAAGACTCACCGCTCTCGTCGTGAAAGTTCCTTAGGTCCATCGAGGTCCAGCTGAGTTACTTTTTTGGTTGTCTGAATTACACGATTGGGATTCTCTATGTCTATCAACCCTTCCACTCCTTTGCGCTTTTGCTAAGGTTCAAGAACAAGAGGAAGGTTAAGAAGCTCTCTCGTACCCATCATGTTCTATCAGAGCTCAGCAAAGACACTGCAACGTACCCCAAAAGCAAAATTCAAAATGTTTTCCCTACTAGAAAACAAAACCATTGATGAACCAAGATTTATACCACCAGGCATCTTCAGCCTTTTTTGAAATCTTCTTGCCTTAGCATTTCACTTATTACATAAGTTTTCATTCTGACCACAAAATGCTGCCCAGGAAAGTTTTTTTGGGCTCCTAAAACAGAAAAATAAATGGGCTTCTTCCATAAAAAAATTTACTATAGGTAGCTCTCAAAGAGAACTTGGAAGCCCCAAGAATCTGGGTGGTGTAAATGCATTAAGTGTCCTGAGAATGGCAGTACCTGATAATCCTCGTCATCTTCATCACTCTCATCTGAATCTAGAGACTTCTTCTCCTTTTTGGGGTCCCCTGTTGCTCCTTCGCCTCCTTCTTCTTGCTCCTCTTCTTCCTGCAACATCCCAGGAAGTCAGAGAAAATGCACCTCCATAAAAATCCCAAATCCCAGAGACACTTAATGAAAGAGCCCCCTCTTAATAAAAGACATTTTGGCCTGGGTTTGCAGTGCATGATAACTCGGGGACTGGAAACTACACAGA